GGCAGTTTCAGTTCCTCGTCGGAATGCCGTGAAAATGTCTACTCTGTAATGAGCATCGACCACCATTGATTCCGGAGACGGACTGTCCAACATGGGTATAGGGGTATACGAAATAGAACTCATCTCGCCAGTTTCAAAATAGACTTTTCATTCTATTGACATAGTTCGATGCACGCAAAGCTATCAATTCTGATGAGGAAAAGTTCATTGCCCTGCTGGATTCTATTCATCGGCTTTCGATGACACCATGAGTACCGATCATTATCTGTCCACTCAGCGTTTGGGCGATCGATTTCTGAAAGAACTCCCACACAAACTAAACACGTCAACACCCCAACACATGGAAATATCGTCAATTCAGATGTGATGGCATGCAAAGTGCTGTACTTCACCATCATCGCATTCAAAATGCCAAAACAAATTCACCGCTTGAACCCCCACGCTTTTGGCCGTGCGAACTTTATCATCCACAATACCACTATTGCTGGCACTCCACTATCAGACTTCATTTCCGTAGCATGTGTGATCCACCATTGCCCAATCACACTACATGGCTGACAATAAACTCGGAATTTCCGACGAGAGAAGTGAAGGCCGAAGCAAGCCACTCTCCATTGTGAGAACGTGCTCCTGAAAGAAATATTCATGTGGTGAGATTGCATATTCTAGAACATTGGTCACTACCGGGTTCTTTTTATTCTCCGATAATAAAATTCCTACAATGCAAATTTTCGCTACCCCTTCACAACCGATCGCATTCACACCGCTAGCTTAGGTGTGCAAGAATCCACCTAATTTTCTCTGGCATGGCCACATGGCATGATGGCAGCAACGCTGCGATGTCCATTCGGTAGGGGCCGAGATTGATACCGTATTGCTCTTTCGCTTCCAGGGGTAAATCGTATATCCAGGAAAGTTGCTGGGTCATCGACGATAAGAAAAAAATATTTCATTATCAATGAGCAGGCCCTCACAGGCCCTTACAGGCCCCCATCACATATTTTCTTTATGATGATTGCAATGCGGTCAAATTTGACTCACCGTTCCGAGCCCAAGCAATCAGTTTTGCTTAAGGTTTTGTCAAGGACCAAGATAAGGAACAGAGGTTAGACTTTTGGCCATAATTCGGGCATTCATTTCGAAGGAGCTTTTTTTTGTAGTCTGCATGTCAATTTTTCCTTCGAGAAGTTGTAACCAGGAGGATTAGACCTCAAGGTTTACTTCCATCTTAGTGCTTATCTCGAATTAGAATTACAACAAGTTACGTTTGTGAGACTCTTGGGAAAGGAAGAGCAAGGGAACAGACATTTTCGACTCACTCGCAATGCTTGCAAAGGCTGGTATTATTCTGGTTCTCAACAATGGCAAGAAAGCATTCTTCGTGGTTAATGATCAATGCTATTCTTATTAGTCATAAAATATCCAAGATCAAATCACACGATCAATTGTTTGATCGCCTGAAAGACAGATTCGAAACCTTTGAGCGGAGAGACCAAATCGCAGACAGTCAATTTGCAAGATGTAAGTACCACACGGCGTTCGAGCTTACTACCCAAAGGATAAGTCTTAAGCCGAGTAGTTTCTTTTGTTAGGCAATGTAAAATCCTTATGGCAACGACTAAACAAGCCAGGCTTGTCGGCTTTCTATTTCTTCAATTTTATTTAGGTTTACGCAGTGGAGGTCAGAGTGTTAGTCACCTGGTATCATTATGCAACGTGTGGAAAAAGCAACATTTCACACATTTTACTTCTGTCAAATACCTCAAGCTTCTAAGTAATCGGTCTCTAGTCCTCCATGATACAAATACATTTGCTGCAAAGAGATCTGGTCACACGCGTCATCTACCTTTCTGGGGAGAATGAGTGAGACAGTCATCATTGGCTTGACAGTCTGGTGATCGCATCTGGTTTACTCTTTCCTTCTACCTCTACTTTTCGCAGTCAAGTCATTACGCAATGCAAATTCCAGACTAACATGTATCAAGCACTTTAATTAGGCATATCCAGGAATAACTACTGAGTTATAGCCCATATCTCTGAATATCTGAGTTTGATCTGGAAAATTTATTTGCTCATCCATCAATCAACCCCTTCTCACTTGTCGCTGAAACCCGGACCATCTATTGTTGTCGTTGAATTCTCTGAATAATACTCTTTACATATATTATGACAGCAATGATCAGCCCTATTCCCCAATAATAACAATAAAACAATGCCTCAAATCGAGGACACCCTCCGATTTGATAGGTTCTTGATCGGAACGGTAATAAATAGTGATCGGGATTATCTTTGTCGATCCCCCATGAACCGGCAAGCTCTTCAAGGGGATTTAGGGAGATGTTCATAAAGTTGAAAGATGGAGGAGGTCCTTATATAGTCGCAATTTTGGAGTTTCTTAGTTTGCAAGATCAAGCTTTGAGAGTCTTAACGGTTTGTATCTCCATCTAATAAGTGCGTACTTCTTATGGCAGCGTATTTGTATGCTATATGATACCTTTGGATATCTCCCTTTTATTCCTGTTACAAAGTTATCTGAATCATGTAAGAAGAATATTGCCTGGGCTTGTGTCTGTAAGTTATTATCTACGCGCGTTATAGATGTAGAAACGGAATCTATTAATAGAACAAGATGATGATCCAGCGACTACAACAATATCAATACCCCTCACTTCCCTGTTGACCACAAATATTTTCGGCAACGATCCGACAGTGGTGCGGATTAGTAACATGATCGACAATAACAAACCATCTCTTGAAACCATGGTGACGAATCCTGGATCATTGCTTTTTTATATAGTAACAGTCAGTGATATGCGCGCGAAGATCGATATTTGGGGAGGGGGTACTGACTTCAAGCATGGAAAACTGGATATTGTTTGCGCCAAAACTCTGGTTTATTATCACAGCCTCTTTCTTACAGCCTCTTTCATCCTGCAATACTGTCTCCATTGAAGTTCCTCAGCAAAGAAAAAAGAAAAAAAGTACCTTAACATTCATTCACTCCAGCTTAAAGGCGCAGAGTCTGTTGTCGGCACGATGACTACACAAATCAGCTAATTCTCGAGCATCAAATCTTAAGAACTTCGATAGTAAATCTTGCCAGAGAGCTTGTATGGGGAGCCTCGGGCGTAGGAAATCTTACAGTATGCAAGTGCTGGATACTGGTCTCTGAATCCTATTTTTCATTTCGATAGTGTTCGGAATGTCTTCTGCTCCGTTGGGTATTTTTGGGGTGGTCATGGATGAAGATGAGTGCTCTGAGTGGCAGTGGGATTGGTTATCTCACTGGGCAAAGATACTCATAGACGTAGAGATGAAGCATGTAGAAAGTATCTGCGTGTTTGACGTCTGCTACACGGATGATGAAGTCCTGTTCTATGTCGTCTCCGACTTTCATTGTTTAAGCACAGGGAAAGTGCCCTTAGAGATTGGCAAAATAAGAATCCTATCACTTCTAGTGAAGTACTCTTAATTGAAATGCTACCAGCAGAGGAAACGCTACCTGAATTCTTTTCGTCTCGAAAGACCGAAGTGTGATTTCCTGTTGTATATGGGCATTAAATGTCCGCACGAGTTAAAGTAGTCCATTTTAAGCGCTAATGAAACTTCTTGCCATCTAATCTACAGTTTTCCCGATAAATTTCTCCCCGTTTCGCTCGAGCATGAGTGTACTCTACCGAATATTCACAGCAATAAGTGTGCAAAACGACAACAAAATCACACACATTGATTCTCAAATCCGACAACAGTAACACCGAAATCTAGCTATTCTAACCCCTATACTCCCTTATACCAAATTCCCCATACCCCCGAGAAACCCTGATCAACAGACAACAAGTAGTATCGTCTCTAGTATTCCACTCTCAAAGCCACGGCAAGACCCTATCTAATATCCACTATCGTCTCGCTTCTTCCAAGCCAGGGGTCCCAGGGCATTCACACGAAAATTATCTCTACTCCACCCCACCCCACCCAACTCCACAAACGGAAAATTTTCTTGCTGCATATTTATATACTCAAAATAAATATTGTCGTTCATCAAACAGGAAAGCAGTTTATCTGCTCATCAAGCTTCTGTGGTCCAATGGTTAGGATTCCACCCTTCCAAGGTGGAGGTTCGTGTTCGATTCACGGCAGTTGCATTATCTTTTGCGTCGTTGTGTGTGTCTTTTTGTTTCGATTTGTGGTTCAATGTTCCTGAGATAATGTTTTGCTGATTGTTTTACTGGTCGTTGAAGTGTGTTAAGTGGCCTTGTAGAAAGAGGGTTGTCTGATTTGAATGAGCGCTCACGGGCTGAACCGGGGATCGCAAACTGAGTGTACGGGGTTGCGTATTTGTTAACGGGAGGTGGTAGTACCATCCTTTGTCCCCGGAACAAACTTAGAAAGGAGGTTCTTACTCGTCTATATCACGGTGGTCGTAAAGATCAAAGGGTGTAGTAGATCACAATCATTCGTGTCTGATAAGAGAGGAGCCCTGAATGTTTGGGCCATCCTCATCAACCCCCGTGAAGATCATTGATATTACGCATATTTGATTCGTGGCTGCTACGAAAAGTACCCTTGTGCAGATGTAGCATTTGCGAATGAGAGGATATTTGAAAGTCTCATTCAGCCAGTAGTCAGATTGTGCACAGAAGCTCTTATCCCATACCCAGTATCGAATAAGAATTGATCTTCAGATGTACAAAGTTCCAAATGGTTCAGATCACACACAAAAACTCCACACTCAACACTTCCACCATCCCCTCTCAAAATCCCCGATTTTGATATGTCTAAGGTTGTCTGTGTCATAATAGTATGATTCATGGATACTCTCGTTTTGGTTTGTAGATTTTTTTTGGAGCATGCATAGTATCATTTCTGCCATTTCGGACTGAATAGAAAGGAAGGACATCGCAAATTTGTTTCCTCTAGTCTTGACCCTTTACAACTCTTCATTAGCCCCTATGCACATCTCCAATCGCCTGAAAAAAGCCTTACACCTTTGCAGGTAGGGCTCAGCGGTCAATCTCGATGCCAGTCATCTCTGTTTCCAACAGACCAGCCAAAGCATGATTCTTCTTAATTATGGAAAGTGGTGTTGGGCCTTTATAATGTTCAGCGTTGATGTCAGCACCGTAGTCTAGGAATATCTTGACAATGGGCATAGAAGGCTGTGCATGAAGAAGGTAATACATCAATGGTGTGTAACCATGGCTGTCTTTCGATTCTATGCTGGCACCCTCTTCAATTAATAACCTGACCATATCTTCATGCCTATATCTAATAGCCCAGAACAACGGCGTCTGGCCTTTTTCATCCTTTTGATTAATGTTGGGAAGCTTTTCCAACAATAGTTTCAGCATAGCTAGCTTTCCACCTTGAATAGCATTTTCAACAGCCTTTAGCAATAACCCATTGTTGTCTTTGTTCTCCGTCTCAGTATAAGCGCTTTGCTTCAAAAGAATTACAGCCACAGCTTCGTGCCCCCCATAAGCAGCTCTTGAGAGCAGGCTATAGCCAAATTTTGTCAGTAAATCTACTTTGCCACCTTTCTCTAACAATAACTTCACAACAGTCATGTGTCCCTGAGAACCAGCTTCATACAATGGTGTCAAACCACTGTCGCATTTCGCGTCGATCTCAGCACCATTTTTCAGTAATAATTCAACTATTGTCTTGTGACCATTGCTAGCAGCGTGAAATAGCGGCGTCCAGCCTTGATACCCTGGCATGCTATGTCTTAGATTCGGATCCATGCCATTCTGTAAAAGAAACTCAACCATTTCTTCGCCTCCGTATCGCGAATTTGAGAACAGCGCTGACGCAAACCCCTTTTCTTTACAATCAAACTTGGCACCTTTACCTAATAACAAGCTCAGTATACTCATATTTCCACCAGCAGCAGCATTCACCAAGGGCGTTTCGTCACTAAAATCAACACAATTGACTTCCGCGTCATTTTCTAATAACAATTCAACTACATCCTTGTGTCCATGAAGGGCAGCGATCATTAGAGGCGTTCGATTATTCTGGCCTCGATAATCAACCTTAGCGCCTTTCTTCAATAACAACTTGACCATGTCCAGGCATCCAGCCCGACTAGCTTGCATCAAGGGTGTGTTATTGACTCCTGTTTTAATGTTAACCTCAGCGCCTTCTTCCAATAATAACTTGGCAATGATGACAAGTTTATAATCAACAGCAATCATCAGAGGTGTGTTATTCTCGGACCCTCCGTAATCAATCTCAGCGCCTTTCTCCAACAGTAATTTGACTGTTTCTAAGTTTCCTTGGAAAGCAGCCATCATCAAAGGTGTTTGATTGGTCGAGTCCCGACAATTAATATCAGCGCCATGCTCCAATAGCAATTTGATCATATCTAAATGTCCTTTGTACATGGCTATTACCAAGGGTGTTTCATGGCTCGAGTTCCGACAATCAATATCAGCGCCATACTCCAATAACAGCTTCGCCAAATTAACGTCTCCATGAATGACGGTAATCATCAGAGGCGTTATATTTTCGATTCTTCCGTGCTCAGTCTCAGCGCCTTTCTCTAATAGCACTTTGACCATATTCGCATGTCCCCTTCTCACAGCTTCCTCCAGAAGTGATGCCTTACCAACTTCCTTTATGCAATTTGCATCGATACCCATCTCTAACAAATATGTGGCGACAATGCAAAGATTTCTTTCAACAGCCTCTATCAGCAAGGTCTTGCCACGACCGGTCAGATTCGGATCAAACCAACTCTCGTCCAAATTTAGTTTAAAAACGAGTGGTATCTCCTGATCGTACTGTGAAAGCTGAAAAACAAGATCTTTTTTGTGTGTGTAAGTGAAGCTGCGTCCAAGCTTGACATTTTTGTTATTTTTTGGGTGATATGTTTTGCACAAGTCATGCAGTAGAGAGTTTGAGGGATATATTTCAGCTTCGATTTTAAGGAGCGTCTGAGCAGCTTCATCGCTCCCAGTAGCCAGAGCAGCAAGAATTGATGGTCCATACCGTTGCTCTGTTACATCAAAGCAAGACTCCTTTCTGGGACGTGTTCGAATGAGGTTGGCTAAATTTCTTTCTGCCAGGAGGTAGAGAATGGTTACGGAGTCCGTATATCGTCGAATTTCGTGATTCTCGAAACAGTTGTTCACGAATACCCATAGACGAGTGGGAAAGTTTTCTAGAAAGTCTGCCTGCTCTATGTAATTTTGTTGAGCAAGATTGGCGTGACACAGGATGTTGGACACTGAGTAATCGAGAAATGGAAATCTCAATTTTATTTCCTCTTGAAACTTCGACTGCGCTTCCTTGGAACGTTGCGCGGGTGGGATGCCCGATTCAGGATGTGCTGTATTCACAAACGGATATTTCATGTTGCGACATTCCCAGAAGTTTGGTTCGCTAAAGTTGAAGTGTTTTATAACCTTTGGGTTGATGACAGTGTTTAGTTGAGCCAAGCAACAATTCTTCAACTTGTCATGCCCATGGCCGACAAAGTTTCCGGGAATTCCAGACAGTTGAGTCTCGTATCTACCCAACAAAAAGTCCCTAACAGACTCGTGGATAAACTGTACATCTGAAGCTTTGTTTTTCGTCACCTCAGCCAACCCTTTGGAGGAGCTCCTCACAAATAATTTCATTTGGTCAATATTGACATCTTCCTGGTCCCAAAAGCCCGTGCAATCTTCAAGACCGATTTGAGTTGCAAAATAGAGTTCTTGTGGTTTCAAGGGACGATTTGCAAATAAAATTAATTTCAGACAAATTTGTAGTTCTTCGAGGTTCTCTCCATCCCGCTCAAGGATCATTTCAAACAAATCGTTTAGTCCTGGTGGAATTTCGTTGAGGCGCTCACTGATTTTCTTAGTAGAAATAGAGCCAGATGTATACTCAGAATTGAGGATGTCAAGAACTAAGACGACCCAGAGAAAAATGCCGGAAGACTTTTGTAGGATTTCGGACCGAAGTGCTTCGGCTTGTTTGGATTTGCCTAGCCTTAATTTCGACTTGATATAGTGCTGAATATCTTCTATATGCCCAAGTTCATCTTCTAGAGTAATTTCCATACCCTTCTGGATGACTATAGTGGGGTAGTGTCGACTAGAAAAGCATATTTGCAAGCTAACTTGCGAAACTTCTGCAAGCTCACACAATTCCTCAAAAAACGATACCATTCCGCTTGCTTGCTTCTGATCGCATTCATCCAACGCATCAACAAATATCATCAGTGATCTGCTTCCAATTTTTGCTACAGCATGCTTCAACGTCTGCTTTAATGCTGCTTCACTCCAACCATTTCTTTCAATGCCTCTCGCGCCATCGGCTGTCATCCACTCCAAGCTATCTCTAAGCTCTATCATCTTTTCGAAAAGCTGGTGCAAAAGAGAGCGATATAAGCCAGTAGTTGTTCTCTCTTCAATCGTACCCCGTGCCAGAAAAAAGAACGATAACGTGATTTTTAAGGAATCGCCTTTTGCCTTAAGCTTAGCCTCCTCGAAGAGTAATTTCATCAAAGTTGACTTCCCGGTACCGGGGTTTCCTTTGATCCAAAGAAATCCTTCATGATCTTGCCGTTTTGAAACATCGTTCCATGAAAGGTATTCCGACTTGGTAAGAAACCAACGGCATGTTGTTCCTTGGGCAGCAGCCAAACTCGTTAGGCGCTCATCGATTTTGGGAAAGTATAGTTGATCTATAATAGATTGTCTCGTGATTGTATCAATCTCATGCATGTTATCCTCGAAAATTCTTTCGGGGCCTTCCACAGTTTGAGGGCGAGAAAGGTGAATGGAAGATTGATCATGTGAGATTTTCGATCTTTTTGTGGAGTTGGAACCAGCAGCAGAAAGGACTGAAGAGTCATCAAGAGTGCGTTTCTTTGCGCGTTTTTCAATCTCTTCTTGAAGCCTCCTAAACGAATTTTCTGATCCTTCGCCATAGAGATGTGGCATATAAACATCAAAGATTCCCAACAATGAATAAGCTCTGTCTTCTTCATACTTCGTCTGGCGATTTTCTGCCCATGACAATCGCTGTTCAATGCTGAATTCAGACAAATTCTTTCCTTGGAGAACCGAAATATCAACTCCTGTGACTTCATAAATTTCTTGTTGTAATGATTTCCTGTCGCCGAGTAGTGTTCCATTCGAGCAAAAGAATTGAACTGACGGCGGAGCAATGAGCTCTTGTAGTGTCCATCCGCGGGTAAACCATCGACTTTCCCGAAAAGATGGCAGCCACGAGAAGACATTAGACTGCTCGTAATTTTTGACTGAAACATCTGATAAATATACATAGCATTTTTCAGCATTTTTATACCACCGAAACATAAAGTTGATAGCCTTTTGGAGTTCGGCACTGCTCGTTTTGTCGATGCAGCAAGTATCCACCCAGAAGTATCGCAAACCATCGCGTTTAGCTTGTTCCCCACAGAATTGAAGTTTTCTGTAACCTGATTTTCCCTGTCCGGTACCGTTCAGGAGGTCTTGGAAGGTGAGCTCGTCTGTCTCTGCCCCCCACGTATGCGATAGGATAGCGTAGTCTGGAACATGACTGTCATCAAAATTTCTGACCAGAACGAACTGCTCTTCGCTATTGCATTCTAATAAGCGCATTGAGATTGATTAGAGGAGAACTTCTGGGGAGATAAATATTGAACAGAAAAGTGTTCTTGAGTACTTTTGGGAGCATCGGTGTCAAGAATTGAGGTGTCAGTCAGCTGGGCGGTTATCTTGACGTTGCATTGAGGCGAAGTTGCAGCTAGCCAATTGTATGTTGACTACTGTGGTAGAGTCTGCAAACCACGTTGAAGTTCATGGTTAAGCATAGAAAAGCCAATCACAACTTTTCTTATGCATGTGGCTCGCCGAGTTTGGTGCTTCCCCACTGTTTTCGGTCGCGAACGAGGCAACGACTTCGTCAACGAACAAGATATTCGCATTTTCACCACCCCATCATCACCTTCCTATAAGTTTCCATTTGTACTTTTTAGCTTGACTTGATGATTTGTTTTCCGTGCTTTCAGTGGTTCTCAGTCTATACTCCCTTGGGACTTTTGCTTGATTCCTTATTCTCTCACATTCTTTTCTATATTTCTTATACTGTTCTCATCCTAAAGCTCGAAAGGAAAGAGAAAGAAGATTCATAATGATAACCCTATTATCTTCTATACAAGTTTCGTAAGTATCACACAGCCGCTAAGTAGAAATCTTACAAGGAAGGATCGAGAATCCGTGTATCCCAGCAATCATCTTCAGTGGACATCGTTGGCGAAGACATAAATTCACCAGTATTTTCTCATCCACTTCCATCGGAAGAGTTCTTCAAGAGCTTGCGATAAACGATCTCTCCAAATAAGTTATTCCACTGGCAAGATACATACCCTCAATCTCAGCTACAATTATTCTTCCCACTGATTAGTATTTATTCTCATATTTTGTTCTCTTGTTGCTATGCCGCGAAAGGTAGTTTGAAAATCGACGCTCCTGGTATTATATTCCCGCAAAGTTGGCTTCTCTATTCATGTTTGTAGGTATTGACTATTGGCGTTACAGTCTCCATGCGTCACCAAAGATCTAGAAATCAAAGAAAGGAGCCAGAGAAACCTTTCATCTCGTTTCACCCAGGAAAAGTATGAGCAACATGCTAGTTTCTCTGAAGTTTGAGAGCCTCAAATCATCTTTTTGCCTTGGAAGTCATGAAGACCTTTAAAACACCAGAAAGGAAGTTAAAGGTTCCAAAACTATCGGAAGTATGCCATGGGCTCGATATACTATGCTCACAGTCTCAAGTCTGACCTTGTTTCTTCCCCGATTACTCCTGAAAAATGCTGGTTAGGATTTCGTCCGGGCTGAAAAAACTTTTGCCATGTTAAGCCACAAGAACTATCGCCATCACTCCCAAGTCCCGAAGGTTAAATCATTCAGACAAGACTTTGCATCCTCACTTAACGGGCTACCAGCAATCAAAGGCCAAGCTGCTATACCCTCCATATTCTTACACAATGCGATACCTCACAACACAAACCTCAACCAACCATACCGCCTACCCTTTCAATGGTTTTCGGATAATCAGGTCGACCACTTTATTTAATACAGATGAAAGGCCAGAATTCAATCATTACTCTCCAAATTTCATTTTGAAATGCGATGATACATCTACCTAGCCTATAAGTATTCATCCCACTAGCGAGACTTCCGTATTTACTAAGGAATGAAAGACAGATGCTGAAAGCAACAAATGAGACATTTTCGTCGATTTCCTCAAAGATTCGCAAAAAAAGAAAGTGGCCACAGAGAAACTTACTAGTACTAACTAGTACGCACTGCATGAATCACATCTATATTCAATTTCCTCCTCATATACTCTACAGTCTAGCCACTGCACTCCTGACCACCACAATATAATCCTATAATACTTCTATACCACTCCATCCCTCACCTTTTTCCCTCAAAACCCCTCTCTCTGCAAAGTCCTTCACATTTCTAACCTCCTCATCACCAGTATGCACTCCCATAAAAACACCACCAAACAATCTTTCCCCTAAATCACTTCATCAGATCTATCCATTCGCCCTCACCTGGGCATTCCCAAGCATCTCATCTAACCCAACTAACCATCCAGCCACAACAGTATCAACACCAGTACTAAAACCAATATCCAAATCCACATACATAAATAACACCATACTTTAATCTGCCTCCACAGCTCTCACCTCTTATTTCTCATATCATACCATACCATACTAAAAGCTTCTTCTTTTCTATGCCTCCATCCATCTACCTATCCATCTACCCACCCATCCGCGCATCTACGCCCTACCTTTCTCCCCGAAACCCCTTCATCTTCATCCATCTCCATCTCCAATCATCTAATACACAACCCCGCCAAAAATCCCATCGAACATCCCCCCATAAAATCACCCACTCAAATCTATCCATCCAGCCACTCACCTATTGACCCTCCACCAACTACCTACTAACCCATCATCCATAGTCCATAATCCATAGTCCGCAGTCCATAGTTCAATCTGAACAAACTAACATTACACCCAGTACAGCACAGTACAGCACAACTGAGCACAATATATCCACACCATAAGAATAAACCCTCACGCTCATGGTTCACTCGTCACTCATTACCCATTCCTCATACACTTCCAATCCCAATCCCATCTCAATCCCAATCCCAACCTCCACCTCCCCCACTACCTCCACCCCATCCTCAACTCCAATCTCCAATCCATATCCCTAGCAAAATTCTCAATCCCTAGTTTACATACATACACTCCCATCTCTGTATCTCCATTTCCATTTCCAATTCCATTCCCATCCTTCTCTTCATCACTCATTCTTCCCATACACCCCCACCCCTCATCCCACCTCTTCCTTACACCTCTTCCTCTAACCCCCAATCTACACCTGCCCATATATCAACCTATCGAATCATCATCTCATGCTTCACATTAGACACAAGCCTCACTCTATTCCCTCGAAGCATGATTGCACGTAAAACTAGTCCGAGTAGACCACAAATTGATTGTAAATGTAAAGGTAAAATGTATCTGATTTGAATTTTCAATTTTTATGATTTTATTTTTTGAGTTTATACAAGAAAGACTGATTGACTGACGACCATGATCCCCATTTCCTTTCCCATCCATATCCTATTTCTCTCAAATTCCACCATCCTCCTCTGACCCTCTCTCGACAACCAGATACAACCTCATCTCACTTTTTCCAAGTCAATCAATCTCCCCTCACTCCCACACTTCTCATCACATATATTCACCCCCATTCGAATTTCTCAATGTGGTGTAATATCTATATGCAAAACGCGGAACCTTGAAATCGCCACAAAAAAAATCCCTAAGATGTGTTTCTCGAATGGTAAAAACACAAAACAGAACTCCTTCGGCTCCAATCCCAATTTCCCCATCTAATTACAATAAAAGACATTATTCTCCAGCTGTCAAGAATCCACATTCGAAGAGACCAATTCAAGATCAATTCAGCACTTCTTTCGACAAAACAAATAACCATGTCCATCGTTTGACAATCACGTATGGTAAATCATCGTCATGTTAATAAAGTATGAAATCGACACCCAATATTGACAATTGATAGGGCTAAACAGGTATGAAAACCTCAAAAATGCGCGCTCAAATGCATCAATCCAGAAAGAACAAAGTAAACATCCCTAAAATTTTGCATCTCTTACACCTCACATACCTTGACGCATACCCCATTCTGGTTTCAGAGTCGCAGCCATATCATCCCTGGTAAAGACGATATCTTGAGGAATTTTACTGACACGATAAGCACCGTTTTTAATCGCATTTGCTTGAACGGATGAAATTCCACTCTTGTTACTTCGGATACTACCAGCATCACTCATAGTATCTGGATCCTTGAATCTTCTTGGAGGAGCGAAATCAAGGGATGTGAAGGTACCAGATTTTCTCAACATGTGGCTGTATAATTTGTTAGTTGAATGATTCTATTCTTAAATGAGATAATTAACCAAGGGAAAAACTTACGGGCTTGGCATTGCAGCAAGTTCATCATATGCTCCAACGATTGGTGCAAATGCTGGAAGTGCAGGTGAATATGGTCGTCTTTCACCGAAAGGACTTTCAGATCGACCGGCGACACGATCACGGACATTCAATTCCGGTGCAAAGTCGAGTGTGTTGAGTAAAGCAAGTGAATCGTCTCTGAGTTTGGATGGAGTAGGTAACGAAGTAAGGGGTTCAGGGGGTGGCAAATTCTTTCTTGGAGATGGCGCAGGACCGCGTTGAGAAGCAGATGAAGATGCTCTTGGTCCTTCGTTGAATGGCATTCTAGGAGGTGCACGCATTGAGGAACCACCCATTGAACCATGCATAGAACGTGGTGGTGCTCCTTGGAATCTTGGTGCACGTGGAGGTGGTGTCATAGCACGACGCGAGATAGGTTCAGCATATGGCAAAACGAAGCTGTTGGTAGCTGGGTCGAAGTAAGTAGAATCTCCTGGACCAGGGTAGTGCGCATCATAATCCTCAATGTATTGACCTTGTGGTGCTGGCTTTGAGTCATCAAAATATTCCTTGTAGAAAGATCTAATTCTGTTGGCACGAGTTTCAGGATCCTCTGAAGCATCAGCTGGAGCATCGGGAGGCAATGGTCGAAAGCCCATGGAAAGTCTTTTAGGGTCAAATCCGGGAGCACCCAAACCAGCTTGAGCAAATTCTTCAGGTGGGACATCCATGGAGTAACGATTTGCCTTGTTTTTTGCGATTTCGCGAGCAGGGGATGGTGGTGTAATCTCGATTCCATCACCGTAATCACTAATCTCAGAGTTTCGGGGCTTTTGTTGCTGCTGTGGAGTAGGCTTTGCATTCATTGGTAACGTGTTGATTGCTGGAGGGGGTGCTTTACGAGTTGTATTTGGCTTTGGTTCAGCGGGACCAGTTGAAGCAGCAGCGGAGGGATCAGAAATGATTAAGGAGCCTAGGTAATTGTTACTATCTCTGATCGCATTATATTGGTTTCCAGCATAGGATTCCCGGTCCGGATAGGGCATTGGAACGGGCATAGTAGAAGAGAAACCATTTTGGGGGCGTAGATTACCTGGT